CCTCCCACCCTTCTGTTTCCCATCCTTGTGGCTTTCTGCTGCGGATCCATTTCCGTGTTTCATTTGGAAACAATGGACCTTCCTTTTCCCCAATGCTTAATCAGTGATCCGTGGCGGAATGGCCATTTGGATATTTTACTATGCGATCACCTGTTCAAGGTTCGGTTTCCACTAACCCTGGGTTAAAATTTAACCGCTGTTTTGGTTTGGGTACATTTGAAATTCTCGGTTTATTTCAAAATTTGGAAAATCAAACTTCGTTTGATCCAGACAAGAATTCTGGAAAACTATCTTCATGAAGTGGACGTTTCGTCCTCAATTATTTCGTCCCCTTCACGTTTCGTCCCCAGACTAGATACTGTTTTATCTATAACCTACTTCCTTAATACAATATATCTTATCTTACTTTTTAAGATTGTATCTCAGTGGATTGTATGCCTGGATAATACACATTTTTGTATTTACATTCCGAAACTTTGAAATGTAACTTAAATATTTGGCTTTTATTTCACAATATTAATATTGCTGTTGTCAGTGACTATTATAGTGACACTTGACTTTACTTTATTTTAATTGGAACTGAGTCTGAGGAAAACTAGACCAATGGCAGTGACAGAATGACTGTCATTAATATTGCTGTTGTCAGTGACTATTATAGTGACACTTGACTTTACTTTATTTTAATTGGAACTGAGTCTGAGGAAAACTAGACCAATGGCAGTGACAGAATGACTGTCATTAATATTGCTGTTGTCAGTGACTATTATAGTGACACTTGACTTTACTTTATTTTAATTGGAACTGAGTCTGAGGAAAACTAGACCAATGGCAGTGACAGAATGACTGTCATTAATATTGCTGTTGTCAGTGACTATTATAGTGACACTTGACTTTACTTTATTTTAATTGGAACTGAGTCTGAGGAAAACTAGACCAATGGCAGTGACAGAATGACTGTCATTAATATTGCTGTTGTCAGTGACTATTATAGTGACACTTGACTTTACTTTATTTTAATTGGAACTGAGTCTGAGGAAAACTAGACCAATGGCAGTGACAGAATGACTGTCATTAATATTGCTGTTGTCAGTGACTATTATAGTGACACTTGACTTTACTTTATTTTAATTGGAACTGAGTCTGAGGAAAACTAGACCAATGGCAGTGACAGAATGACTGTCATTAATATTGCTGTTGTCAGTGACTATTATAGTGACACTTGACTTTACTTTATTTTAATTGGAACTGAGTCTGAGGAAAACTAGAGCAATGGCAATGACAGAATGACTGTCATTAGTGAGCTTAACGCCTTAAGATCGCAATCTTTTTGTCAACATGGACGTCAGTTCGTCGTAGGGTGATTGGATTATAAACTGTGTTTTTGTCAGTTTGTGGTAATCTTCAACATATAGGACAAAACATAAGATTTTTAAAGTTTTTTGCTTCCTTAGACGAGCGCTATGATGCAAAATGCCGCCAAAATTAGTCCATGTTCATGATTCAAAATTAGTCCATGTCCAGATATCGAAATAAATTTGGTATTTTCGCACACCCATGTATTATAATATTCTCTATATATATGCGTGCAACCATGCGTTACTTATTTGCATAACTTACATCGTACAATGATTTGTGCTTTTGCAACGTTTTTACTCGTTGATTTTGCCCAATCCTGGTTAACCCTTCAAAATAAATACATGTGGCATTATATAATTGTTCATCCTAATTAGTATTATATAAAGGATACTAATGAACTGCATCTTTTGTAGTCGTATTTTAATCTATTCAAAACACTCGTCGTTGTGTTTTATCAGATATAGAACGCTCGACTGCGTCTCTCGTTTTATATCTGATTGAAGGTACTATTTAAAACACTTTACACTCGTACTCGTGTTTTAAATAGTACCTACAATGTCTTTTGAGAAATGTGCAGATGGAAGTCCAGGCATGCAGCTCCTGAAACAGAAATATTCTCGTTTGCAAACAGAAGGAGGACGACGTAAAGGTTTAAGTTTTAAACCTCGTTCGAACGATGTGTTCGTCGTCACTCCATCTAAGTGTGGCACAACATGGATGCAACAAATTCTCCATCAGTTGCGAAGTGGTGGCGATATGTTGTTTGATAATATCAACGATGTCATCCCTTATATCGAGATGGCTTACGATACAGCAAACGTGAAGGATATTTAAATCTCAGAGATTTTAGACATGAACAATTAGAAAGGGTAAGTTTTGACACTTCCGGTTGGTCGCTTGTATTCAAGGGTGTGGTTGACTACAAAATTTTTGTAGTTCGCTACAACTACAGCTACTTCAAAAATATGTAGTCAGCTACAACTACTGCTACTTTTGAACAGGTTGTTCGCCACTGACTACAGCTACTGCTTAAAAAATGTAGCGAACTATTTCGCTACGCTATATTTTTTAGTTTTACTGTATTTGGAGCATCTACTAGCCTCCTGCGCAGACGTTGTTAGTGGCCGAGGCCTCGGCCACTAACAACGTCTGCGCAGGAGGCTAAGCATCTACTAGCTCAGGCTGAAATGTAACCTATAACAAATCGACTTACGAGTAGCAACAGTAACATTTTTGTAAGCACTACAGTGTTCAGGAGTGCAAATTGACTGAGTATTAATTTTAAGCAAACCTTGTCTCAATATCATGCTGTTCTATCAAGTTGCTAACAATTTTGTTTGAATAGCGATTCGCTGTTTGAAAAGTAGTCAACTACTTAGCTACTTTTAGGCAAAATGTAGTTCGCTATAACTACAGCTACTGTTTTAAAAAACTACTGGCTACTTGAAAATTATAGTTCGCTACAGTAGCGAACTACAACTACTTCGCTACTACCCACCCTTGCTTGTATTACATCGTTAATATATATATTCTATTTTTTCCAGGGCATTTTAGTTCGGAACCCGTCGCAAGGCAGACCTCCGCGGTCGCCAACGTACAACGTTACTACAAGACGAATGAGCGATTCAGCCCCACCCTCCCCTCCCACGTCGCCGTCGATTAACCAATCGTAT